TTTTTTTTTTTAACGAGTGTGACGGCCTGGGCCACACTTGTGAACAACCTGCCCTTGCAGCTACTGCCAACCCTCAGTTGCTTGGTTTGTGCAGGGTGACAACAGGTCTCTCTCTTTTTTTTTTTTTTTTTTTTCCCCAAATTGGACCATTTCTCGATCAATAATGTGTGTCATCGCTGCGCAGGGGCCATGATAATCTTCTCTCTGTGTATTGTTCCAATTTTAACGGATGTCCAGAAGGACATAACAATAGCCCTCTAGTGTGGGCAATGGGCAAGAAACAGAGGTTAGTACTCATGCCGTACAGGCCTGCCATGCATTGCACGCTGCCTACTGATTGTCTCCTCCTTGTCATCATCCCTTCCGCTTTGATTGTATCTGGATTCGAACTTGAGTCTGTATTTCACCATTCATGGGTGTACCAACTCTGAGCTACCGTCTTACCCCGAACATAGCGCATATGTGTTGCCTTCGAGTTTTCAAAAAAATCCGATGACTTGAATAGAAAGAATATGTGTTGTATTCGAATAGAAGGGCTGGTCGAATAGAACACACGTGCATTGCATTCGACTAGAAAGCAACCTATGCGTTGTATTCGTTTACAGTGCATATGCGTTATGTTCGGGGGAAGACGGTAGGCCCGTTGGTGCATACTCCCTTCCTCTTCTTCTTCCTCTTCCTCTTTTTCTTTTTTATCATCATTATTGTCATGAATGCACTTGCGATGTCAGGTATCTCTATGATGTTGGCATTCTCCTTCTCCTTCACAAACTCGCGGATGTCGACCTCACCTCTATATGGAGAATATGTTAATTGCGCCATCAGCGGCAGTCGGAGGTCTTCTTCGTCACGGTGATCACGATACAAAGAGTACCATTGCTGTTTTCCACAGATTTTGACCAGACGGAGCACATGCAGAGTCGAACGACTGTACTGGGACAACATTCCTAAGGTGCCTCTGCCTCCGCAAGCGCGCCAGACCTGGCGAGCTGCAACCTGCGGGGCATTCGCGTGCCTGACAATACCGTCAACATGCCCAGCTGGTCTTCGCCTCACCCCCTTTCCCTTGCATTCATCTAACAACCACCATGATCCCTGGCTTAACCCCTACATAAGATACTGATACGACTCCCAAACCGCTCCTGCCCACTCGGCGCTTGCCACACCCTGCCCTCAGACCAGTTATTTAAGCCTGTAGAGTTATAGATGAATGGTCCCAGGCCACTCCTTCATCATGCGCTCCATGGACACAGATGACCTTATCGCACTGAGACAAAGCCACTCCCACCCACTCAGCGCTTGCCACATTCTGCCAGAACAACTTGCTGTCACCTGATGTGTCCACCCTCCCTCAGACCACTCGTTGAAGCCTCTCCGTTCACTCCGAAATGTAAAGCCTCGCACATTTGAGTTCAAACTTCAATTTGCATTTGTCTAACTCTAGAGTTACAGAGGAATGGCCCTGCTGTCCGTCATTACGCTCTCTCCATGGACACAGACTACCTTATCACGCTGAGACTAAGCCTCTATGCAACTTTGCTATTGATGCATGCCTCCTCACTTACAACTGCACCCTGTATACTGTTTCCACTTTCGTGGACATTATATCGATCGGCTGGAAACAGATCAGCAGATTGGCTGCTCTCGATCAGCAGATAACTGTGCCTCGGCAGGTGTGCATATCGAGGTACTGTACGCGACGTTCATGGCAATGGGGCCGCATCTCAGGCATGCTCCAGAGATTGTGGCATCTGTCGATACGTCCTCAATACCCTGCACACTTCTCTGCCGGTCACTTTCACGCTCTTAAACATCCAGTTCACACTGGCCTAAAGTTCACGAAGCCTTCCAAGGCTTGCGAGCCTGCAACTGTGCCCTTTCAAAGTGGCCTGCCGCTTTCGCTACCGGCCCAGGCCCGAATCGAAATGCTCTTACCGCGTATACTGGGAAGAGCAGTGCCTCGGCAGGTGTGCATATCGAGGTACTGTACGTAACGTTCGTGGCAATGGAGCTGCAGCTCAGGCATGCTCCAGAGAACCAGATGCCTGATTCGGATTGGGGCATCTGTCGATACGTCCTCAATACCCTGCACACTTCTCTGCTGGTCATTTTCACGCTGTTAAACATCCAGTTCACACTGGCCTAAAGTTCCTGCAGATACCTTCCAAGGCTCGTAAGTCTGCAACTGTGCGTTTTTGAAATTGGCCTGCCGCTTTCGCTGCCGGCCCAGTCCCAAATTGAAATGCTCTTACCGCGTATCCTGGGAAGAGCACTACTTATAGGTTCGTGTGAACTGGTGGTTCAGCAACCTATGGGATGCAAAGTGGCGGTCCCTGTTAACCACATGTGGGGCTGTGTGGAACCATGGCAGAAGGGACCATCTGGTGCCTGGGGCATTACTTCCTATATTCCTTGAAATCTCGTATTTGTCTTTCCCAGTCGTTCAGAAACAGTACATGTCTGCAGGGCCACACCAGGAAGGCAGCCGAGTTCTGCATGAACAGTACAGCTGATTCTTATCCCTGCCGTATAACTGATCTGGCTGCCGCTGTACCCAGGGTTACGGGTGAAGCATGAGCCCCTGGCTTTTTATGTTGGACCCGAAGTGCAGCAATACGTGCTGGACAAGGATCACAGCTCAGAGATGGGATCCCTTGTGTGCCATGCCAGACTGTGAAAATGCAGGTACACTTTAGATAGCACGCGGGCAATGTAGCCTTTGCTCCGATCACTATGATAATAGTGTGATCATGGTATGATGGGATGAACACCACCAGTCTTTGCCTTGAGGAATGAGCAATGCATCTGCATCTTGTGTCTGTCCATTGGACTCCCCCCATCCACTATCTAGCTGCCGGTTATGTTGGCACGGTCCTGAGATGGCTTGTCGGAATCACTACCGACGACCGTCTTGCCTTTGTCAGGCATGCTAACACCATGTGATGTGTCGCGAGTCACGACTGTTTTCAGGAGGCAGCGTTGGACAGTATGTCTCTCTTCTATGAGGACTACCCACACTGCCCGTATCCTTTTCCCCCCCCCTTCTTTTTTTGTATAAAAGGGCGACGATGTTGAAATATCATCATTGAACTGACCGGCCCCTGGTATTTTTTTCTGCTCTTCTGTTTGCATCTGCATTTGAACTTGGGTCTGAATTTCAGCACTGCTGGCATCCTCTGTACCCTCATTTCTCATGTTTCACCTGCCCTGCTGGAGTGCCTTTAACCATATCCGTCATGGAACCAGTTCTCTCAATGTCGGGTCATGAACTGACCTTGCAGTCTGAGCTGGAGCTATAGTTCAATTGCCTCCCCCTTGACGGGCCTAACACGCCTTGACGCTCCGTGGGAGTGGACGGATGATTCTTCTATGAGCACAAGCTCCACGCCCTCTACAAGGCACTTATCCTCTGGAGGCACTATCTTTTGGGCAGATTCTTCTATGTGAGATCTGACCATCAGACTCTCAAGTGGATCAAGACACAGCCTACCCTTTCAGACGCCCTCAAGCGATGGATTGAGGTCATGGACCAATATGACTTCAAGCTTGAGTACTTGAAAAGGGAGTAGAACAAAGTTGCGGACGCACTCTCACGCAGGGCGGATTATCTGGGTGTGCTGATTAGAAAGTTTGGTTTATCTAATAACTTGACTCGATGTATGGTGGATGCCTACAAGGAAGCGACCTCTGATGACCAGCTCGAGGCCAAGGACATGAGTTTGTTGTGGTGGACAGGCTACTTGTTTCTTGAGAAGGTAGGAAATAAAAGGTTGTGCGCACTGTCTAGACTTTACATAGTTTATTTTTAGCTGACACAGCGTAATTTTGGTTGTATGGGACCGGAAAGCTCGCTTGTATACATTCATCATCATGGTGCGTTGTGCTCGGGGGAAGACGGTAGCCCCGGAGTTTATTTTTAGTTGAGTTTCATGATGTGACCGGACACTTCGGGTACAAGAAGACTAGCTCTAATCTTGTTCAGCGGTTTTGGTGGCCCTCTATGCTTGATGATGTGAAACATTACATACAGATTATTACAGACTTTTCAAGTCTGTCAACGGGACAAGCCGAGAACTCAAGCCCCACTTGGGTTAATCAAGCCTTCGCCTAGTATTCCTGCTGGTCCCTGACAGAGTGTTTCCATGGACTTCGTGGACACCCTCGTCACCAGCAAGAGTGGCAAAAGACATGTTTTTGTCATAATGGACCGCTTCACAAAGTACGCTGGGCTGATCGCCATTCCTGAGACTGCAAAGACTGAGCACGTCATCAAGTTATTTATGGATAACTGGGTGCGTGATTTCGAACTGCCCTAGTCGATTGTTAGTGATAGAGGTGTCTGTTTCACCAGCGACGTGTGGAAGAAAGCGATTGAACAGATGGGCAGCCAACTTCAAATGACTTCAGGGAATCACCCCGAAGCCAATGGCCAAGCGGAGCGGATGAACCATGTGGTACAGCACCTGCTGCAGCACTATATTAAGCCCAACTAGGAGGACTGGGATGAGCAACTCCCTCTCATTGCCATCCTGTACAACAATGCAGATCACAACACCACA